CGAGCAGAGAGCAGGAGGAAGAAGTTATACGCCCTAATAATAAAGTTTGTCCCATATGTGGGCTTTCTTTTAAGGGTGAAAGAGGTCTTGGAACCCATATTGCAAAAAAGCACCCCAGGGAGGCTAACACCAATACACTGAGGGGCATAGTGAAAAATGTTATAGGTCCAAAAAATGGAGAGGGTGAGGTATCAAAAATAAAAGAGGACATTATTGGATGGTCTACCGTGTTCAAGAATCTCTTAAAAGAAAACACAATGAATATTGCGGATTTTGATGAGGCCGTAGGCAAGTTCCTGAATTTTCTCAAGAATATCAATGCGGAACTGCCAGGTCCCCAGCACCCAGCCGTTAAATTTTACAGGATGAGAAAAAAAAATAAAACTAAAGTGGCTGATAAGGGTGCTGGACAAGTCTCAAATCCGCAAAGAGCGAACAAGGTAGACAGGAGTCGTCGGCAGGAGCAGTATCAATACGAAGTCGCACAGTATAATTATTACAATAAAAGAAAAAAAGTTGTGCAAACTGTTATGAATGCCGATGCTCCTAAGAGGTGTCCTATAAAGATGGCCGATATCGAAAAATATTATAAAGACCTCTTTGAGAGCGAAAATCTCTGCAGGCGTGCGGATTACGAGCAGTGTGCCCCGATGCCAAATTTAGTGTCCATTGATGTAGAAACCGTCAAGAAAGCCATTAAATCAACATCAATGGACACATCGCCGGGGCCTGATGGAGTTCTGATCCGCACGATTAAATATTTTGATGTTGCAAATATTATTAGAACAATTGCGGAGATAATGCTGAAGGTGGCCTATGTCCCAGAACCACTTCGACAAGGGCGCACAATACTAATATATAAGGGGAAAGGTGATGTAAACAAAATCCCTTCCTGGAGACCCATCACCATTTATTCTATTGTGCGCCGAATCATAGAGAAGGTTCTGGACCACGAATTAAGAAAACAGGTCACCTTCCACAGGAATCAGAGAGGCTTTATAAAAGGCCTCCCGGGAACGCACGTCAACGCAAGGATTATCGACGCTGTATTGAAAGATGCAAAGATTATGAAAAAAGATTGTGCGGTGGTATTCCTTGACGTTGTCGGTGCTTTTGACAATGTTGGCCACAATCATATCGTGAGCTCCTTGGAAGCAAGAGGTGTGTCGCCGGATCTTCAACACGTTATATCGGCTCTCCTCTGCACGAACACAATCAAAATTAGTAACGGTGTTCACGCAACTAGCCAAATCAAAGTGCTGCGCGGGGTACCCCAAGGCGGCCCCTTGTCGTCGTCGCTCTTCAACCTGGCCATTGACCATCTCTATCGCGACCTGTGCGATGAAGAATTTTCCAAAAAATTTGGATACAAGTTAAAAAGTGACCAAGGTTGTGTGGTCCTCACAGGTTTCGCGGATGACCAGGCCGTGTCAGCGCGTGACAAGGGGGCTGCAGAAAGAGTGATCGGCAGCGTTCAGAGGACATTTGAGGGAATTGGTTTGGCTATTAATCCTCAAAAAAGCGTGGGCATCGTTCTAAATAAAGGAGAGCTGGAAACCGCGATGCTCTCCCTTGAGAACGGAGAGTACATCCAAACAATGCAGAATGGAGATACAATCAAGTATTTAGGATGTACATTCTCGGGAGAGCTACAGTTCAACGAAGATTCGGTGACCAAATTGAACGAAAACCTAAATAAACTGGTAACCTCTCCCTTGCTGAAGCCGGAGCAGAAGCTAAACATTGTCAACCAATATCTGTTCCCGGGTCTTACTCCAAACTGCGCCCCTCACAAAGCTGCGTCCTGCCGTACTTGACGGCATCGACACCATGATTCGCAGGAGTGTGAAGGCTATTGTTGGACTCCCTGCGAACACCTCCACGGCGATGTTGTACTCTCCCAGGAGGTATCGAGGATTAGGATTAATCCGCTGCCAATGGGAGGCTCCTCTACAACATTGGTCCATTGCTCAGCGACTGTCCAATGTGCCCGATGCCCTTTTTCAGTCGATCTTTGATTATTCGGCTGAGGTTGATGAATGTGCCGAGAGATTGGGGGTTGATCGGGGTATTCGGAATATGAGAGCTCTACGGCAGTCGCTTCGAGAAAATTCGTTTGAGGAATGGACCAATTGCAGGTGGCAGGGCATTGGAGTTCGCCATTTTAAAGAGACCCCGAAAGCCAATAAATACATGTATGATAAGCAAGTACTTTCTGGGTCTGAATGGTCAAATGCCCTGAAACTAAATATTAATTATGCTCCCCTGCGTGGAGTCCCAGGTGTCAGCGGACAGGTAAGAGAAGTTGGGTCCCTCTGTCGCAAATGCGACAGAGAGCCAGAAACACCAGCACATGTGCTTGGAAAATGCCCCAACAACTCCCTCCTTATAACACGCCGTCACCACAGAGTCAAGCATGAACTGATGAGGCTCCTTGAAGAGAGAGAATACGCCTGTTTCGAGGAAGTATATTGTATAGATACGGATGGATCCACCCGATATGCCGACATTGTAGCATTCCCTAAGACGGGAAAGTCGGCGATGATTTTGGATCCGACCGTGAGATATGAGACCAACGACCTCGATCAGGCAGAAAAAGTGGAAAGGGAGAAAAAACAGATATATGAGAAATGCATCCCTTTCCTTAGTGAAAAGTTCCGCGAGAGTTTCGGGCCGAGAGAGTTCCACGTGAGAGGCCTTTGGTTCGGAGCTCGCGGAACGATACCAGACTCAACAAGGAGCTTCATGGAGGGCCTTGGTGTCGACATAAAGGACGTGGCAAGGTTGGCAGAGAGTATAATCCTCGACTCCCTGGGAATCATCCACCACCATGTGCATGGGAGCGGATAGGGGGAGAGTTTGCTCGCGGGGGGGGAGGCATGCGTGTGTTACAGCATTTTTTATATTATTATTTATTGAACACGTCCACTGTACTTTATGAATTTTTTATGTATTAGGTTAGAGAGAGGAGAGAATGTGAGTAGGAACATGTATAGGGGGAGAGAAGGAAGAGAAAGGGTACAGAATGATAATAAATGAATGAAAGAAATAGTAAAAATTATAAAAAAAAAAAAAAAAAAAGGAAAAAAAAAATAATATATATATATATATACGTATAAAATATTGTATACTATGCTCATACATATTGTTAATCCTATAATTGTATAATAATTTTAAATAATGTCTGTAGTGATTAATAAGTATGCTGTGTTGTTAGCAACCCAATGTAATTGGGCAGCACCATTTTATTTTATTTTATGATAATAAAGTGATTCTCTCTCTTATGTTAATGTATGCTGACTTTGCTCTGAATGGATTTATAAGATTTTTTAAGTCGATTGTTTTTCTGTGTAAAATAAAAATAACAAATTGCTTATTGTATTAAACGAATTCTTATATATAATAAATTACAAAAACCTATAGACACTTCCAGTAAAGTAGGCCAAGTAAATTTTTTTCATGAAAAACTATTCAGATTCATTTTAGGGTTCACTAAAAGTCTTAAATATGAGTTTGTTTTGAAATCAAAAAATATAAATGTTTGGACGTCATTTTATGGGAGGATTTTTTTTTTTTTTCATGCCATTTAATAAAATATTCAAAACTCCTCAGGTTTTTCTAGTTACTACAACCATCGAAAAGCTAAATTATTGCTCTTCAAAAATGTCTCGATAACTTTGATATTTCATGCTTTTCTAAGGAATAAATAAATAAAAACTTCCCAAACGTTTTTATTTTTTATCTCCGAAACTAATTTGTTTGCGTGATTCTGGTTTAAGCTATTTTGTGTATATTATAGGCCCCCAAATTCATACTAATTTTCGTGTGGATAAGTGGAGCTATGTCAAAGTTATCAACTTTTATGATTTTCGAAAACAAATTTAAGTTTGTTGCTGTATAGAAAAATTTACTTGGCCTACTTTACTGGAAGCGTCTATAGGTTTTTGTAATTTATTATATATAAGAACTTGTTTATTACAATAATCAATATGTTATTCTTATTTTACACAAAAAAAACAACAAATCGACTGATATATGATAACTTATAAATTCATTCAGAACAGTAACATAAAAAAATAATAAAATTTTATAAAATATTTGTTTTTTCGTCTCCTAGAGTGTATTGGCAAGAACCGTTGGACATGGGTCTAATATTTTTCGACCTTTATCACCAAAAAAAGTTTCATTGAAGTCGGTGATCCCACATCCATAACCTTCCCCTTGTTAGTCTGATCTCCTTTTATTTTTATTTATCTACAATACATCAATATTAACATTAAAAATACTCTATACATAAATTCTTCATAAAGAAAAATATAAAGATAAAAAGAAATAATGATCTGTTGTTAAGTAAAGTAAATAGTTAACCACTCCCCCAGTTGGTGAGCCATAAGTTATTTATCAGTCTACCTCCAATGCTGACATATGTCTCCTCATTCCATCCCTATACATTGCACCTTTTTTCTCTATATGGTCTAATCCATAGATGGGAAACTGCGTCCTCAGAGGCCGTATATGGCCTCTATAAACATTTTGTGCAATATTTTTTATCTAGTGCTAGAATTAATTAATATTAAATTATTTAAGTAACAAAAATTTGGAAATTAATAGAATTAAGTTGAATGTATGTATGTGGATGTGTATTTACTGATAAATAAAAATAGCAAAGGTAAAATATAAAGAATTATTGCAGCCTCCATTAGTACTGTGGCCTCTAATGATAAAAAGCTTCCCCACCTATGGTCTAGTCTATTTACAATAGGTACACTAGATATGTAAGAATGAATCCAGAATTCATCCAATTTTTCTGGCATGGCATTCATAAAGTGCCAGAGAGATGGGAAAAATATATAGCTAGCGCTGTTTTAAATAAAACATTTTCTAATAAATTTATTCTATACAAAAATTCAGGTTTCATATTTACACACCTGGTAAACATCTGAATTTTTATAATGTTGATGATGCCTTTATAATATGATTTTATTTGGTATATGTTTCAGGAAAAGGAAAAGGAAAGAAAAGGAGGAAGATCCGATAGTAAAAATTGCAAAAAAATTGGTATTACATCACTAAAAATTAATTTTTGTTTTTTATCGTTAATGGTGCTATATTCAAAAATACTTGAGAGTATATTGTGGCATTGTATAATAATATTATTGTACCATTATGTAATACTACAGCATAATTCTCATTTGTAAATGTCCTCTAATTTAATATACAACTAGCTGATTTATTATTAGATCAGACTAATCTTGTATGTATTTAATAAACCTTAACTCCTTGACTGCCATAATATATAATGACATTCAACCCCATAATGCATGACCATCTGAAATGAAACACACATATTACTGGTGCTGGCATCTGTTAAGAAACAGTGAGAACTTATTCAAAGTACTAAAACACCTAAAATATCTTGTATACCACTTCCCAGTATATAATTATGATCCCTAAAGGCACATCTTTTAAGGCCTGGTCTGAATCTTTTGGGAGCTCTTGATGATAGATTGAAGTGGGGCCCCCCTTATTAAGAGGGGAGTTCAGGGGAGGACCTGTTTGAAAATTAAATTTCTCATTTTTTTTTTTTCAAGCTTGAAAAGGCCATTGTACAAATATTTTGTCTTTATTATGACATTCAGTCAATAATAGATACATTTTTACTGGGACTGCAAATTGTGACAACTACAGGTTCGTTACTTTTCTCAGTACCATCACTGTTCAAGCTGTAGACTTGCCTCAGCCATATATTTTTATGAATGTAAACAAGACGTGAAAAGGCTATGCCCTCCACTACCTCTCCCCTCCGCTGTGAAAGTAAACTAACAACTTCTTATTAACTTTTCATATTTCGTGTTTGTTATGCTCTTTTCAATCTAAAGTATTTCTTGAATTGGTATATGTGAAACATGTTCAATTTAATATCCTAAAAATTCATTTTTTTTTTTTTTACAACTAGTGATTTTAGTTTTATCCTTCATATTCCATATCTATATTATACTTTTGAAGAAAATAAAATTTCATTGATAGGTTACATATATTTCTACATATTCTGTAAATAGGTACAGTCATGTTTAATATTATAAATGACAATCAATTATTACCTGAGAGGATCCTATGTATAAACTCCATGAATGCCTCACCATCCTAATAACAGTTAGATCTTCTGTGAGGATCACTTCCACCTTCCCCAAAATCATACCTCAGGACTATTTCACACTGTGTGTGACTTTTTTTATGATCTCTACTGCTTACCAGTATGGAAAATCCAATGATAAGAAATATCAAATAGTGAACAATGTCTTGTTGAATTTTGGAAGCGTAACCAAGAATAATCATTAAGAACTCTTTGCCTTATGTGTATTACACGTGCAACTGGTTTCAATTAGCCTTTTGCAAAGCTGATTTTTTATAAATATGAGAATTTATGCAAAATATGTAAGATAACTCATGGGAAAATCCTGAAAGTGGTAAGTTTTTGTGTGAGTGTTTCATAGAAAGCACTGGTGGAACTGCAGAAGAAGACCCTCTACTGAAATAAATGGAAAAATAATTATTTTTTTCATTGTTTTCTAGTTCATATTTGTTTCGATGGGTGATCTTTTTTTTTTTTTTTTTTTTTATGGGAAGTTTAATACTCATAATATGTTCTGTTTATTTTAACACTTACTCAGTTATTAAATATATACAACTATTGAGACAAAGATTCTTTCTTTTATCTTTTTCTTTCAAAGTAATAACTGTTATAAAAAAAAAAGAGAAAAATTCCTCCTCCCCTAAAATTATTATACACTATGGAAATAATTGAACAAATTTATAAGAAAAGGACCTTGGATTTTCTTATTTAATTAGTACCAGTGAATTAGGATAATTATCCGAAAAAATCATCTAAACTTTGTAGAGGTATTTACAACTAAAATACGAAGAAACTTTGAAGAACATGGCTTGGCACAGCATAATTTACTGAACTCAATACAATTGAACTGCTTTGGAAGAGCTTGGTAAAAAGATCAAGCAATATGTAACAACATTCACAAAAATCTATAACTTCTGAAAAGTTCTTTATATAATAAATAAGTGGTTTGAGAAGTTAGAGAAAGCTATTAAAATAATACTATGAGTTTTCAAAGCAGTATTGAAAATTTAAAGAGAATATTTGATAAAAAAAAGTATATTTTGTTAATGCATTTATTTTATTCTTTTTACTATATTCATCTAAAATTTCTTCCTTCTATACTATGTTATGTACTTTTGTTGTATTTAAGTTTTATTTTAAAAACTATCTTAGTTTAGTTTTATTTATTCCAAAAGTTATCAAATTCTCTTAATTAATTGAGGTGGTCCTTCAGAGGGAAAGCCATTCCCCATAGATCCACCTCTGATATATAATAAGGGAAGTGTTGTGATCATGAACATTTTCGAATCTGAGTTTTCAACGAAAATTCACGTTTTGAGGTCCCCTGAGTTCAAATAACCAGGTCCCACAAAATGGTCTGTGTATGTTATCAGTCTAGCTGAAAAACGAAAAGTCTTACGAAACTGAAAATGCATATTAAAGTCAAGTGTATACCTGGGATTTCTCAACATTTTCATTAAAATAGACTAACCGGAAGTGCCATGGATTTTATTCATTTTTAGAATTTTCTCAAAAACGGCTCTAAAGATTTTTATTGAACTCAGTATATCAATGTTTTATTAAGTAATCTTTAATATCATTTAGGTCTTATCCCTATTGATGTCGCTTAACAGAGTCCAAATGCCCAATGTTCAAAATGTCTCCCTCTAAAGTACCTTTAATTTGTTTTATTTTAAATAATTAACTATCTCTTCATGTTAGGAGTTATGAAAAAAGGCTAAATATAAGTTTTGAAAGAATTTGATAATTGAATAAAGGAGAAAAAAAGAAACATGCTTATTAAGTTGGAAAATGAATCGCCGGAGATAATAGTCATAAGGTATAAGTATAAAGTTGGAAAGCGGACAATTTTAGAGGAAAAAAAATGAAAAATTATTTAAAATCCACCGAATCAAGGCAATGACATTGTTTAAAATATTATTTCATTTTACTTGATTCAAAGAAGAAGTGAAATAGAAGTCTTTCATGGATATGTTTATAAACTTAAATACATTGACTGTTGTTTAATATCTCTAGATCCGATATTATATTTAAATAATTAGGTTTCTATCGGAAGTCCATCATTTTAGAAAATTAAATTAGTGAATAATTCCAATTTTCTCTTTTGTGAAATCACAACTTTATCCACGTATAGTCAGTGTGACAACTTTTCAGCTATCGATAGTAGGCAATGGAAATCTCGGAACACCAGTTTACTAAACTTTACAATAGGAAAATAAGAGTTTAATAATTACTAACAATAGTACAACTCATAATCATTTATTGGTAAAATATACAGATGTACTTTAAAATCTTACTAGGCATATACAGCTTAGCACGGGCGGATCTACGGGGCGGGGGCTTTCGGTTTGAAGCCCCCCCAAAATGGTAAAATATAACTATGTTTTATGGAAAAAAATTATCTCTTAAAGTATTATTGTTCGTGTAATTGCATTTGAAAGGACTTAAGGAATCACTTAAATACCATTTCATATAGATAGCTAGAAATATCGTCATTTTTATGAAAAAAAAGGCTTTCGGGCTGAAGCCCCCCCCAAAAAATTAAATCCTGGATCCGCTATGTAGCTTAGCAACTGGAGTTATGTGGTTAACAAAATAAAATAGCATTACGAGGTTTTTATTGCCTATCTTCGCTATAATAAATATGGTTAGTGTTATTTTAATGGTATGAATGAGTTCTAAGCTGTTAGGCTTAAACTTCAACTCCGTTAAAAGTGCCCCTCAACGATATAATAGGCCAATATTCCAAAAATAATTTCTGTCCGAACTATAGCGGTAGGTAAGGGAAATTTGTGTGATGCGCGCAACAGATTTTTTTTATTAAAACATTGATTTATCATATCTAATTAGCAAGATATAACAACTTCCTCCACCCTTATTTCGATAGTCCTTACCTGCTGATCAATGAACTTTCATCTCTTCATCTGTCTCGAGATTCTACATCGGATCTCCGATCTTTTTTAATCTCTCAGTCGATCGCTGTAAATTCTTGCTATTACAGGATTGTCCATTTCAAACCTCCTTAACTTCTTTTCGAAATTCTCCTCCAAACTATAGGCCTCATCTCTGACTTCCCTTGATTTTTCCAGATCTATTTTCATTTTCAATGTAACTCCGAACACTAGTTCCGCTGGTGACCTTAGGGCTTTTCTAATATATGCAAATCATTGTATATGTTATATTTTTATAAGTTTCTATTGTATGGATTTTTTTCTAATTAATCTGAACTAAAATAAAAATTCAGATTTATTTGACTTCGTTATAATTGACAGGTGCGGATAAATATATGTAAGTGCAAAAAAAACAAAAACATTTATTTGATTAATAGAACTACTCAACATATGTAATATTTGTAACATCTGTTTTTAAAATACTATTGCTTTTTGAAATAACCTCTTATAAAAGTATTCAATGTTTTATATATAATATTCTTTTTACTTTCACTTACTTATATATGTAATATATAGTAATGGTAAGTGTTGCGATCGTGAAAATTTTCTGTTTTCTGTGTTCTCTGAAAAATTCTGAGTTTTCAACGGAAATACACGTTTTGGGGTACCCTGAGTCCAAATAACCAAGTCTCGAAAAATGGACTGTGTGTGTATAAGTAAAAGTCTTACGAAATTGATAATACTTATTTAAGACAAGCATATGCCTTAGATGTGACAGCAACTTTTTCCTTAACATCGGCTAACCGGAAGTGCCACTTCATATCAACGCTGAAACACATTTTTACAATTTTCTCAAAAACGGCTCTAACGATTTTGATTAAACTCGGTGTATCATTGTATAATTAAGTGGTCTTTAATGTCAATTAGGTTTTATCTCCATTGATATCACTTTACAGGGCTAAATGGCCAATGTTCACGTCTTTCTCTAAAGTACCTTTAATATGGTTTATTTTAAAAAGTTAATCATCTCAAATTATTCAGAGCTGCAAAAAAATGCTAAATATAACTTTTGAAAGAATTTGAACATTGAATAAAGGAGAAAAAAAATAAAAATGCTTATCCAGGTCAAAAATGAATCTCCGGAGATACTAGTCAGAACTTATACGTATAATATATCGTTGGAAAGCGGAGAATTTTAGAAAAAACAATACCTAA